ATAGATCGATAACAATGACTACCATAACCATATGACTACTGTGGACTTATATATTATGTATATACTAATAGATGTTCAGTACTTAAATAGATGATCCACAGAGATAAAAAAGTTTAGAGATAAATTTTTAGTTATATAATATTGTTTGAATATATTACTATTGTTAGATTTTGAATAGAATTAAGTCATTCATTTAATATATAACAAAAATTATAACAATTATTAAATAGATAGATAATAAATTATTAGTATTATGTGTGGTTGTTCATGCTCACGCAGTATTAAATTGTGTCAATTTCAGATTCCAAAAAATATCTGACATTATTTTACATTTATAAGATTTATATTTTATTTAATATTTATTCAACTATCGGGTGTTTTTTTTAGCTGCATGAGAACTATCGATATGGATAACTATAGTTTGACAGCTGAGAATATCAAATTGTGTTGATATTTCTATTCAACAAGATTTGACATTTCATCATGACTCTTTTGACACTAGAACAATGCTTCCAAATTGTGGAAATTTACTTTGAGAACAATATATCTGTTTACGAAGTTCATGGAGTACTTTATAGAAGAATTCTGTTAGAGATCAAGCCCATTCAGGTTTAATGGTTACGTCAATAAGCAAAATTGTCGTATATGGAGCGAAGATAATCCTCAATCGATCAATGAATCACCATTACATCCATTAAGCCTGACTATTTGGTGCAGATAAAATGCTGACAGCATCATCCGTCCTTCTTAATTTCGAAATGAGAACGAAACTGCTGTTATGGTGAATGGCGAGTGTTATCGAGTCATGCTGACTGAATTTTTGTTAGCAATTTTTAATAATTAATCAGATAAATATTGATATCGACGCTATTTGGTTCCAGTTCCACTAAGACAAGACTTAGAAGTACTCCTGTTAACTAGCTCCTTCGTTCGTGCGATTTAACGCCTCTCGTATACTTTTCATTGGTTTATGCCGACAAACCAGCAACTGTTTAAGCATTGGAACTCAAAGTTCTTGCAATCATATGACTACATTTATTGAAAAAAAAAGCAGAAAAAAATTAGACTAATTGAATGGACCATGTAACTCGTAGCCGCCGCGGATATATGCCGGAAATTGTGAAAGGAAATTCAAAGAATAATACCATTAAATTATTTACCAGATTACAATATAAAAGTTTTCATTTCAACCAGATTTATATCTTGTTTAAACATATTAAGTTCTCATACACCTAAAAAACCATTCGATATTTTTTTGATTATATTATATCACTCCGATTTGTATCTTTTTAATATCCAATGTCTAAACTATAATTGAATCACTACATATGATTGAGTTACATTATTTATTAATATTGTCCTGATTGCATGCGTACCGCAAAAATGAATAAAGAATCGTCAAAATAATATAACCCTCATTGTATTCATACTTCAAGGATGGATAAATAACTGTCAAGTTAGCATTAGAACTAGAAAAAAAGAAAAGAAAAGAAAAGAAAAGAAAAGAAAAGAAAAGAAAAGAAAAGAGGCAACGTGACTAATAGAAGTCAAACGAACAAAATTTCTTGAAGATAGGTATGCTTATAGGTTAGAGTGGCGGCCTTGTTTCCAAAAAGCTAACTTGAGCTGAAATAATGGCCCATTGTGGTATTCTTATAACAACCATCTATTGTTGATTATATGTAACTTTTAGGTAGATTCTTCACAGATGTGGTGTTTGAAGTTTCTGTCATTTATATAGGTTGGTTAGGTTATACCAGCGATCCTAAGGAAAAACCTCAACCTATTGGCCCACATTTGCTCTACTAATTGAGTTACAGAAATTGTATTTATATGAATAAAAATTGAATAATTGCATTTGAAGTGACAATATGTTTGTGTTATTATTACAAAAAATTGAGTTCAGCAAAAAGCTATAGTGCTATTAAATTTTGGTTTAAGCTTTATAAAACTATAACTTAATCTTCACATTTAATGAACGAAGTTTATAGTAAAGCTTATTTTGCTCAAGGCAAAGTTCATGAGTAGTATTATTTACCATTCAGTATCACTAAGTACTACTGAGAAGTGAAGAAAATTAAGAAAAACCCCGCAACCATCACATCAAAAGAAAACTTTATTTTTTATAAGATTTGAAAAATATATTTTACATTAATAAGCAAAACTTTGGTTTCGGTGCTATTGTTTAACATATTTTAAAATTCAGCAAATTAAAAAAAAAATTAATACATCTTCGTATCTGATTTGTCTGTAATTTATGACTACCCTTTCTACATCACCCTCCGTGAAGGGTTTACAATATTCCCGTGGTAAGGCATACCTATCGTAAAAGGCGACCAAAATCCCGGTGCCACGCCGACACTTGTGCGAGAAATGTACATGTTAGTAGCTGACATGGTACCTAGAATTCTCAACCAGTGTAAATCTGGTACTACGGGGGCCAGAGACCCGCAGCTTCGGCTGTGCTGACCAGTTGAGATCGAACTTTAACTTACACTGGTTAACTTACCACCGGGCGCTATGACCCTAAGATTAGCAGAGGCGTAAGACCGCCCTCGCACAAATCAAGATGGAAGTTATATCCAGCAAACAGCAAACGGTACTTCATTGGTACCGGCGGAAATATCTTTTCCAGTGGAGCGTTGTTTGACACGTTGTATAAATACACGTGTTTTTGAACACAGTAATTTTAAGTTTCCACGACATAGAATATAACGTAAAATTTCATAGGGACTACTAACCATTGTACAACTTTATTACATTGCATAACTTCAGTAAAGTAAATGATAAAATTAATCTGTATAGACTAGAACCACTTACGTATATAATTAAAAAGTTTGTTTTTATTTTTTGTTCTTTAATAAAAGTTTCGAAATATTGTCATAAATACCTTTCTAAGATTATATTATTTTAAATAAATTTTCAAGTTAAAATTTTGTATTGCATTTTTTAAACTACACTGCTAGTTTCGTTTCATTATCTGTATTTCATGCACTTTCATGTACATTTTGTATATATAAAATAGCTACATTCCATATTTACTTAATGATGACATTGTAACAGTAACACTTGACACACTCTTTTAATCTCCTCTTGAGCTTCACGCAATCTCAGGACTTACGTGGCTTGTTTTCTCCTAAGCATCAACGGCTGAAAGTTTGCCGTGTGACAGTAAAATGGCAGATACATTCTGCGGCAGATAAATCAAGATCCTTAACATGTTTACCCAGAAAAGCACACTAAATTCTTTACAACGAAGTACGAGTAGCGACAGTGACAGCTGAGAAAAAGGCAAACAATTCGTCACATCAGTTGACATTACAATTGCAAGGAAATGATTCACCATCGTAAGTGGAGTAAATTTATATGCTGACATCATCAACAGTGGATGATTGCAGTAATTGCAGTGGGTAATATAATTTTATCTAATTTTAAGATTTAATTTAATAAAATTTAAATTTATTCAAAATATTTTTAAAGTTTTTTATTCTTACTGCAGCTATAGTAAAATCCTTTTTAAGAGCTTAGTTTGTATTAGAAAAAAATTTACTTGCAGCTTAAAACTTTGAAGTCGTAATCATATAATCATATGAAGTATATACGTACTTTCATGTGTGCCTATAAAAAATATTTTAATTATTTCCTCAGAAACTGCTGACAGTAACTTTTCCATGTGCAATCAGCAAACATGGGGACCACCCACCAACGTACGTAGAAAACACTGCGTCGATTTGCTATATGCAAATTTAAACTTAACCGGAAAGTGCAACCAAAAGCACATAGGAGATAAATTTTTGTTCTAAATTTGTTTCCGTTTTGTGAGGCATAAAGGATGTTTGTGCTCACAATGGAAGCCATCATTTGAGGTGAAAGTAACGAAAATTTATGAAAATTTTGCTTAAGTGAAATGTGAAATGTGAGTTCCATGCTGAGTTATGCCGGACTGAGATTTGCAGTTGGTAACAGTCGAGTTGGAGATATGATTTATTGACAACTGTGTAAAATCTTTTCTGGCCTTAAAGGAAAACGGATGTCAAATAAGTTTCAATTCATTTTTTCATATTTTTTTCTTCATCTTCTTCATCATCATCTTCAGTCTTGCATAAATATAATTGGACTTTGTTGCGTTTGACAAGTTGATGTTAGCAAACTTTTCACAGGTTGGATATGACATTGTGAAAATCTATCTTTTAAGCATATTTTCATAAAAAACTTCAAATGGAATTTATGTATGTTTTATGAAAATTGAAGAAAAGAAACTATAAATAGTTAATACATAACCTCAATATTCAGTTTTAATGCAAGAAAATAGTTTTAATAGAAGAAAAGAACTTTAATAACCTCATTCATTACCTCATTATTCTGTTTTAATGTAAGCAATCCACGATACGCTTAAGTTTGTCTTAAATTATAAAAAATATTTTAAACATGAGTAAAACAAGTACTTAAACAAAAACTATTATGTTTTTTATTTTATCTAAGACTATCTAAGAAGAACGTATAATTTACTATAAAAATAGTCGGTATTTTTGTACCATTTTTATTGCAATTTTAAGCCAACTTCGTCAAAGTTCTTCCAGCGAAGTTTACCATGTTTACTCATAGGGAGCACTTGTTGATGCCCAACGGTGTCGAAGTCATGAAATCATGAAGAAGAAAAACTTGCCCAGCTTATAAAAAGTTTTCCATCAAAGACACACAAAGAATAAAAACTTTCTACTTTAATATTTTTATTTTAGTAGTTCTCGTTTCTTTGGTCGGAAAATGGATTGAATTTAAAACTAGAAAAATCTGAAGAAACAAAAAATTCCTATTTAATAAATTTTTACTCAAAAACACTGCCGAGACTTCAAGGTTTTGCTTTGTTTAAGCATTTTTAATGCAG